GATCTCTGTAGCCAAAATATTATTTGTTATTGTTGTAAAGATAACGGGATGAATCATTTCCTATGAGAAAGAAAATCCTGACAAGAGGTGGAAAGACAGAGTGGTGGGGGCACAGGAATCATGGAGGGGCTGGAGTCCACCCTGGAGCCCCCATGGCCTGCTGAGTCAGGGCTAATTGCCCACTCTGAGGAGAGGGCGGGTGTGTGCTAGTGCTCCCGCATGCTGGGGTTGCCAGCAGCCCTGGTGTCTGACTGGACGCGGCGGGTGGACAGTCGTCAGGCCTGGGGACTATCCCTGGAGCTGGGGGAGGCCGAGGCGCTTTCGCAAGGGACGGGGTGGTCTGAGAGCTCCTCGCTGGAGTCCTTGGCGGAAGGCATCTGGCAGGAAGAGGGCCTTCGGTTAGGGGCGAGCCCAGAGGTGAGGAGGGGGCGCGGCATGAGGCCTGCAGCATGGACTCAGGGACAGGGGCGCTCGTGCTCTGTTCACTGCCTGGGGACACCTGAGCGAGATCACTCGCCGCTCAGGGAGCAGGCCAGATCGGTGAGCGTCCCGCGGCCCTCATGGGGGCCGTGTGCGGAGGCCGGTTCCTCATCTCTGGAGGGGGCAGGGGTGGGTGCCTCTAGGGAAGCAGTGATTAGAGAGGGGTGGCAGCAGGACCGCATGGTGCCACTTCGGGAGCTTCAGCAGCGGTACCTCGCCTCAAAGCGGCCAGCAGGGGTGGTGCTCCTTGGTTTCTGGGGCTTGGCGATGGTGCATTCGCACCTGCCAGATGTGGCAGTACCCTCCCTGGACAAGTATGGCCATAAGAAGTTTTGGCTACTGCTGTCCAGGGAGATGGAGACCCTCTTTGGCATGTTTCAGGGCAGGCTTCCTCTGAGGGGCCCTGCATACCATCAGGCAGCATGGGCGCAGTCACTCATGCTGAGGGTGGTGGGGCGCTTCCTGGTGTCGAGGAAGCCGAGGGGCCACACCTACTGGCCTGACTGGATGACAGAGCGTGGCCTCATCCAGGCTTTCCAGGAGGTCCAGGGGGGGGTGGCGGGAGTGGCTGGAGGCAGAGTTCCCGGTTGTGGACAGGGAAGGGGACACCTCTTCGCTCCTCGGGCGGGCCGAGTACGAGGCTTGGCTGGATGGCATGGTGCAGGTGCTGCAGCATAGTCAGCGCCTGTTGCATCAGGAGCACCAGCCTGCAGCGGGCTTGGAGGTGGTGAGGGGGGGGGGCCGGCCCTCCCAACGCCCGGTCAGAAAGGCGGGGGGGGCAGGGGGGACGAGGGACCAGCCCTCCCGGTTCGGGGGGCTATGCCCTCTCATCTCAGGAGGGTGCCCAACCTTCCTAGGCAGGTGCTCGGAGCTGTGTTGATCGGAGGGTGGAGGAGAGGCGCGCCACTCAGTTTGACGACCGGCGCCTGACACGGGTCAGGCTTAGAAGGCGATGGCAGGCAAGGGGCAGTGGTGTGTGCGGCCCGGGCAGCTGGGACTGTGGTGGGCCAGCTGGCAGAGAGGGTGGCAAAAGATGGTGGGGAGGGGTAGCTGCGGACGGGGACGGGTTCTCCCGCCTCCTCAGATGACCATGTCCTGAGTCTATGGGGGCTCCTCCGGCTCTGGTGGGTGCTCTGCAGGAGGGGTCCCCCTCCCTACCGCTCACCCATGCAGGAGGAGGGGGTGCGGTGACCTCAGGGGGATGGCAGGACAGCCAAGGGCCCTTGCTCCGCGGGACTCCAGAGGTGCAGGAACTTCGCTGGGGGCGACGGAGGCATGCCCGGGTGTGGCTGGGCGGCCACCTTCATACGCCTCGGTGGCAGGCAGGCTGCGGTCGTCGGTGTGGGCCATGTGGGAGGAAGCGAGGTCTGCGGCGCAGAGCTGCTCGGCAGCCGACTTCGCCTCTCTCTTCGCCTTGGTGGGCGTAGACCCCGATTCGGCCGGTATGCCTGAGGAGGGCACGTCTCGGGAGCATGGGAATGGCCAGCGGCGGACTTTTTGGGATGGGAGCGCTATGTCCCGCATTTTAAATATGTGGGGCGGGCGGATGGCTTCCAGCCCCACAATTTCATCGTGCGGGAGGTTGTCTGCTCCTGCCTGGAGTTCCCGCTGTTGCTGCTCACAGCGGTGATTCGGCCGCCCTACTGCAAGGAAGTAGATGTGTGCTTCCCCATGTTTGGGGCTTTTTGCCGCTTTGTACACGGGTGCTACGGACTCACGCAGGAGTAGCCCAAGCTGCTCAGGGATTTCATCATCTCAACGGTGGTGGAGGGGGATGTGCGCCCCGTATTTGTCTTTTTCAGGAACGGTACCGTCCCATTGAGAGACGTGGCCACCTAGCTGGGGCGGTTCAGCCACGTGGTCCTCTGTCTGGAGAAGGTGCAGGATAACATGGGGTTGTGGACGGGGGAGGTGTGGACGCTGGTGTGCTTCCCCCCAGGTGGCGCCTGTCGGCTGCCCAAATATTTCTACCTGGATGCCAACCGGGAGACGATGCGCTACCTGGGGGAGCCCTGCGCCTGTTACAGCTGCGGGGTATACGATCATAACTGGAGGGCCTGTACGACACCTCTGTGCGCCCGCTGCGGCACTCGCGGACACCTGGCCTCCTCATGCCGAGGCGTTATACGCTGCAACCTCTGCGGGGCGAGTGGTCAAGCATATGCCGCTTGCCCGGAAGTGGCGGGGAATCGGGGAGCAGACGTGAGGCCTGAGGATGATCGGAGCAGGAGGGGTGAGGACTGGTGATCCACTGCCAGGGAGGGGCTAGGGCGGAGCCCATGGCACATGGCAAACCGAGGTGGCTCCCCAACTGGTGAGGACAGCGGACCGGGACTGATGGCAGGCGGCCGCTCCCCGAAGGGAGGGAGTCGCTTGAAGGAGTGCAAGAGAGTCTGGGAGCACAGGGGACCCACAAGACACCACTGGTTGTGAGCACTCTCTCAAGAGTGAAGGGGGTGCTGACCGAGAGGTACAGGGGGATGACGGCAGCTGGCCGGAGGGGCCGGTGGTGTCCAAGTGAGACATGGAGTTCCTCGAGGCGGGGGGCACCCGACGGGCATGGCACCGGCACCTGCGGGCAGAGGGCGGTGTCTCAAAGAACCCCGCATGGGCTACAGGAGGTGGAGTGGAGTTGGTGGGTGCACTCCCGGTGCTGCCGGGGGACCCCCTTCTGCCCCAGCATAACCGCTATGCATTACTGGCATCCTCTCTGGAAGGGCCAGAGGAGCAAGTTAAAGGGGCATCACGGTTGGCGTCAGGAGACGTGCAAGGTTTCCCCGGAGCGCTACGTGAGATAATCACATGGACACCGACGGCAGCAGGGGTCTCGTTGCCCTCACGCATCACGGTGAGAGCACCGGACGCCCTGCACGGGGACGATGGGGCGCACCACCTCCTGCTGGTTGCTTCCCAGTC